ATCGCCCGGCTCGCCACAGGTTTGCCTGCTGTGTCTAAAAGTAGCAGCAGCAGCAACCCAGACTGACAGCAGCTCATTGGCTCATTTGTCTCACGTGCAGCCTGGGGCCGGATGCTCTGGAGGGCTTTACCGTATTAACAGGAGAAGCAGCGCAAGTGAAATTAGACACTGCCGTCAGAAAACACACAGTAATTTATAAATGTCTAAAATCAGGTTGGGTCTGGATTAGCCAGCAGGTGGGTCCAGATCCGGACCACTAATCTGTGACCTCTGATTTAAAGTCTTATACAGCTTCTCTTTCTAGCAGGTTTTCTCCCAGCATGTAGCTCCAATCATTGTCCTCCTAGACTCAACTGCAAACATCCCACAGCATAATGCTGCCAACAGCACGGCTTTGGTTGAAAGACTGTGTATAAGGTGAAATGTAGAGTTAGCTTTCTGCACCATGCAGATAGACCAAAACTGAGGATGTGAGAAAAAAAGATCAACCTATGATTGTTGAGTAATGAGTTTTCAGATTAACATTTGTTTCATCCATTAATTGATACTTTAATTATTGATCATTGAATTTCAGATATTTTATTCATATTTAATTCAGTGGCCTTATATGTTCCTCTTTTGTTATATTTTGTAAATAAGTTGACTAAAGTGAGAGAAAACGTGGAGCATGTTAACTGTAAATAAAAGGTTTTATTTTATTTTACTGTATATTATTTGATTAAAAAACCAAATAAACATCCAAAACAACAAGCAGAATCGGAAGGAAGAGACTTTATTCTGTGGAATACAGACCCGTTCAGTCTTTTGCTGAATATTTTGAGTTTTGTAACAGTTTGACTGTATTTTAATTTCTTTATTCATTGTTTGGTTCCAAATGCTAAAACAACATTTTGTCTAAATTCAATGATACCTATACTAAACTAAAGGAGTTGAGATAAATAGAACTAAACTCATTAATAAAAGAGTTAAATAGAGAAATACCTTGAACTGAAGATTAAAATAGCTAAAGGTTGCAACCTATATTCATAGGACCCAAAGGAATTAAATATCCTAAAATTGAACTAAGAAGGTTTAATACAAAAAGGGATTTATTCCACAATAAATGTTAAATGTAAGTCATTTTCTCTTGTCCATATGTTCAATAACAAGCCGGCATTTGAACTTTACTCCCTGGTCTGTGTCTCTTATTCATCTTTTAGTTAAACCAACCAATCTAATTTGGCAGCGTTTTTACCCAATCTATGTTGGTAAAAAGGCAACCCAATAAAAATTGGTCACTTTGGCCAAAATACCGGTTAAGTAGTAGAGCAACCTTTAAAGCTTTTACACCAAGGCTCCAACTCACAACCTTTGGATTGAAGGGCAACATCTCACAGAAGATGCCACATCTATACTGTCTCATTCTCAGAAAGCAACAGTAAAATACCTAATGACAACTGAAACCTGTGGCCTGTTCAAATTCTGATTATTACATTGTTTATTCTAACAAAAACAGTTTTAACCAACTAAATTGGTTGGAAAAACAACCAATCTATTCCTAGAATCTACCCAAACTCTATCCAACTGACAGTTACATAAAATCTGTCTTTCTACTCACCCAGAAAAAAACATCTGACACACGTGTCACAATTTTGGTTCTGTTTTCTTTTTTCAGTTTCACTATGATCCATGTTTTTCTTTGTTTTCTAGTTTTATTGGTTTAATTCCTATTTTGTGTTTTTTTCTGGATATATTTGAGTTCTTAGTTTTTTTCTGTGGTGCCCTCTGTTGGCCTCTAGTGTTGGTCTCCTTTTCCCTAGCTCCTTCTAGATGAATGGATCCTACCAGCAGCGTGATAAAATCACTTTCATCCACACAGCTCCGACAGCCAATCAAAAAAGCGAAACGCATCCAGGAGTTCAGGTCCCACCTACCGAGTAGGATGATGTAGCTTCCTTGGGCGGGCTGACCCTCTCCCCCTGCTGCGATGGGATTGGTTCTGTGTCATCAGGGATGTCAGTGTAGATCTCGTCATACAGCAGGTAGGGGTCCATCCTTAGAGGGGTTTCTGGAAGCTTCCCTGGAGCGGCGATCTCCTCCTGCGTGGTCTCTGACTGCTTCTCTGTGTGCGGGTACTGGCTGGTGGTCTGAGACATCAGCTGCTCTTCATCTGGTCACAAAATTAGAGGTAAAATGACAAACTGCAGGGAAGAATAATAAAAGAGAAGCCAGTGGAGGTTCTGGAACAAACCTCTTCTAGAGTTTGGGGGATCTGTCACCACCACGTCGTTTTCCCTGGGAATCTGAAAGAGCTCACTGTGTCCGATGGGGTAGATGTTGGTAAACTGAGCCAGCTTCTGGAAGTCTGGGCTCATCAGTATCTTCACCTCACACATGTCTGGTTGGTGGACCTGAGAGGCACAAAGAGAAGGTGAAGACTGCAGTAATAACGCATGAATAAATGGGCCGAAAGGAAGAAGGAAAAAAAAGTGCACCTCTTTGCCTTCCAGCTCGATGACTTGGCTGAAGACCTGCAGAGCCACCACCTCATCGGAGTCGCTGTACAGCCGGTTCTGGCTCACCATCACCCGGGTGACGGCTGATAGCAAGTCCCCCGAGTCAAACTCACTGCTTCCATTACTGCTGTCCACTGGAAAACACCAAGGAGTCATACACTGCTAATCATCCAAAATTCAAGCTGTGTTTTTATTTAAACTTTTAGTAGATGCACATTAAAAAAAAGAAGAAAAAGAGTAAAATCTGGTATTTGTTTGAAAGGATACTGTTTTATTCACATTTTCTAGAGCTTGTACTGCAGTCATAGATTTCCTACCATGCTGAAGCGAGTCAATAACTTTCTGTTACCTAATCGGGGCTTTTTTTTTAACAACCTGCAATGTTTGCGGGTAGTCAGCCGAGGCTCTGCTCTTGGATTTTTTTTAAATCAAAATAAGGCAAGATATAGCTGGAATGGTTCACAAAATCCACGGTTCGGTTCACGGTTTCGTGGTCACAGTTTACGATTCGGTTCGGTATATTTTGGTTGTTAGGAAAATCTATTATGTCTTGTATAGTACAACACATGTTGCACAATGCTTGCACACTGTTGCACTTTTATCCACAACTTTCTTTCCGCCGTCATCGTAGGTCACTCTAAATGCAAAGTGGTCCCATACAGCAGACCTATAAAGTGCTGCTGGCGCGTCTTCCAACTCCTGTTCTTTCCCACTCGCCATACCTACACAATTCTCCACAACAACTGATTTTTTTCTGCTACTTCGCTTCTTCTTCTTGTTTACTACTGGTGATTGGCTTTGGTCGCAGTACCGCCACCTTCTGCTCTGGAGTGTAAACGCTTCGCCTATGAGAAAAAGGAGCAGCGCATGAACCGAACGCAAAACACGCAAACCGAACCGAAACAGGCGAACCGAACGGTTCGAACGGTTTTCATAAATCGTCCCATCCCTTATGTATGTATATATATACAAATTTATACATATTTATATACATACATACACATATATACGCACACATATACATTATGAATGTATATATATATATATATATATATATATATATATATATATATATATATATACACACACACACACACATTTATACATATACACTGTGTGCAGAATTATTAGGCAAGTTGTATTTTTGAGGATTATTTTTATTATGGGGCCACAATTGTGTTCTCAATAAACCCAAAAGTCTCCTTAATAGGCTATATATATATGTGTATATATATATATATATATATATATATATACCTATATAGACAAAGGAAAATTACTCCTTAGAGGGTTAAACCGCATCAAGAAAGAAATAGTCTTTTTAATCTAAATTAGGGGTCATCAACGCGGTGCCTGCGGGCACCAAGGGGCCCTCAAGGACCACATGGGGTGCCCTCAACGCCTTCTGAAAACAGCAACTCAGCAGTGGGCTAAGTTTGAAATTTTATTTTATTCTGTGACTCTTCTTTTTAATCATTTATAGAGCATTTCATCATAGTAATCATATAGGGCATTTTAGCATCTATAGAGATTTTAAAATGATGATGTTTAAAGGAAAATTAGAAATGAAAAGTTAACAATAAAAATGTGTTTAATTTGGATGAAGTTTAGGTGAACGCTGACCCCTCTTGTTCATAGGTCAGTATTGGTAGCCCTTCCTATGATTCGATAGCCATGAAGTAGCCCTTAGCCTTGACATGGTTGGTGACCCCTGATCTAAATAATCTCCTCGATACCAGTTAAACAATTACTGGGACTGAGGGATTTCCTGTGTAGAATGAAAACAATACCGGGTGGATGGGGCTTCCTCCACTCGCAGTCTAACATTCTGCTTTCCAAGCTTTAAGGAAAATGGAGCAAAACTCACAGAAAACAGCCTGACAGTTGAACCTAGTGACCCCAGAAAGCTCCACGGGGATTTCATTGACCAGCACCTGCTCCTCACCCACTGATATGTTCAAATTGATCTGAGGAAAATAAGAAAACACAGCATCCACCCCATGAGTCATCTCCTTTTTCCCAGAAAGAGGCTGAGCATAGACGGGAAGCCTGGATTATTGCATCAATTCACCTGTAAGCTGCTGGACTGCTGCAGCTCGGTGTCTGACAGTGGCCCCGCTGTTACGTTAATCAGGATATTTTCCTGCGTGGATAAACAAGTCAGTGTGAAAACAGAAAAGACCAAAACGCTTCACGGCTACATTTGAACGGAGATCCTAGCACTGTTCCTAAAATCAGAAAACACTCCTATTTTGCTCCTACCGTGTTCAGCTGCTTTGTCGTCGACTCGGCGACAAAGAGAAGAACAATAAAACTAACAGTGGGACTCGCCATCTCTGGTTTTAGCTCACGTCCATCAAAAACCAGACTCAGGAAAAACCTCTGCGCACATCTAGTTACTACGCATGCGTAAAGGACGTCCCTACGTTTTTTTGCTTTTTTTCTCGCGACAAGTGAAAACCACAGTTAGCCGTTCCAGTTCCCACTCCAAATGAGTGGTGGCGGTAATGCGAACTTAAAGTTGTTTGCCAACCGCCGAATAAACTTTACCAAGAATAGAAAGTAGAAGAAGAAGAAGAAAACGTCAGTATGGCGGTGCTCCTTGAAACGACGCTGGGGGATATCGTAATTGATTTGTTCACAGAGGAAAGACCTAAAAGTAAGACTATGAAACAATTACCATTAACGAATTACTATCGTATTACGTCGTTTATTACTAAATAAGACATCTGAGAGCTGAATTATAGATTATAGCAGTGTTAGCTCAGATGGCTAGCTAATGTCTGTCCGTTTTATTCACGTTTTGTTTACCTGTGGTTTACTCTATCAGTCACTCACCTAAATGTGTCTAGTTCTTATTGGCAAATTCATTTTCCTCATGTTAACTTGGTGCATCTGAAATAATGTGCTTTCTTTCAGCCTCACTAAACTTCCTGAAATTATGCAAGATAAAATACTACAACTACTGTCTCATCCACAATGTGCAGGTAAAATGAAACTGTCTTCCTATTATTATCATTAATGTTGTAACTTTCTAAGCTAGCAACCTACTTCTCTGTATTTTATACTCTGCATTGTTAGTTAGACTCCATAGGAGGGCGCCAATAGAAAAAAAAAAACCAAAGATGACATCCAGAGCAACCGTGGTTGAATATTTTTTTCTTTTGTCAAATATTATCTGGTAGGCACCTTTGTCAACTACTTTAGGTGCTAAATCTTTTTGGTTTAACAAACAGAGCTCTTTAAATGATAAAAAATTATATCTCATTTGTTGGAATTGGGCAAGTATTGGCAGATTTATGGCTGATAATAAATCAAGATAATTACAATTATGGACAATAGAAAATGAATTAGAAATAACTGAAAATTGTTTACAAATGAAAGTGTTAAAGATATGCTCTGTGTATGCACCTTGAAGCTCTATCCCTCCGGTTCTTTTCCCTGAAAAGAGATCACTCGTGGCAAAGAGATCAAATCTTTGCCACATACAGAATGAAGATCATAACTGTATATCCAGACAGGGGAACTGTCCTAATTAGATTAAAACATCAGTTTTGACACTCAACAGGCAGAAAATACCAAGGTGTAATAAACTCACATCATCAATGATAATTATTCTAATAAAAGGACACATTAAAAAGAATATTAAAAGGAGGATAACTTTTTTGTATTGAAATAGATATCAAAATGAATCTTTAGTATTTAGATGGATAATAAACAATAAAAATTCCAGTCTCACAAATGCAATGAAACAGAGGGTATCATTCATTTCTAATGATGCTTTACTACTGAGAAGGACGAGAAGATTATGAGGGCCAAATAGATTTGTTGTTTTTATCCAGTTTAACGGAGTGTCTGGAATTTCCATCACAGCAGCATTAACCTGAAAGAATCTTGGATTAAAACCACCCTGCCTTGCCTTTACTAACCTGTCTTTTCATTGTCCATCATGTCTCTGGAATTTCTGAATATAATTAGTAGTTTACTCACACTTTCTTGAAATGAAAACTCTACTGAAATAGAAGACAAAAACTAATGAAGTACACTAATATCTATCTGACTTTTATTTTCTTATTTATTTGTGTTTTGCATATTAACTTATTTTACTGGCATATCAATGAAAAAGACACATATTTTTAATAATTTGTTTAATTTAGGGAATAGGAGCTGACCGGAAACAGAATTCATATTTCCAGCTATTTAAAAAGCCATATGTTAACAATGACTAAAAATATTAAATAAACAGCTCAATTAAGTACAATATTCAGATAAATATTTTTACCATTTTCACTCTGTCTTGTTCAGTTTAATGATTTCAGACAAAAAAAATGTCTGATTTCCGAGAACGTTTAAACCTGCCTTACATATACAGTCGGTGGTAAATGATCAGTACGTCATTGCCTTTCATCAAGTTAAAACAAAAGTCTCTTACACTTTGAGCAGAAAAATAACCCCTGAAAAAGTGATGATGTCATTGAGGCGACTCGCTGGCTCGCGAGCCTTAATTGTTTTTCCAAGTGCCTATATCTAGCAGATGAACCACACTAAACACAGATTACACAGTTTCATTATAAAACTACGGTAGATATATATACATAGATTTTGATAAACAGAAAGATGAGAAAATACAACCATGTGTCCAGTACTGAAAAACAGTATAGAAGTATATCAATACATAAGTGGAAAAGTATCATTATCAGCTTTGTCTAAAACATCTGGAGCATGTTCTAAGATAAAGAAAATATTAATATAAGTTTAATGATCAGAAGTGTGGGGGAAATAGAAAAAAAACAAAGATGATACCCAGAGCAACCATTGTTGAATATTTTTCCCTTTGTCCAATATTATCTAGCAGACAAAGCACACTAAAACAAACATAACATTTATGATCCACTACAATTTTATCTGAAAGCAGACTACTCTGCCTGGTAAAACACTACTTTATCTGTCAAATATTAACTTTAAATCATAAACCGTCACATTCCAAAGTTCTGATTCCTTTTCAATGCAAATTTATAAAAAAAAAGATCTGCACAGATTCATTATAAAAACACAGTAGATATCAATACATAGATATTCGTCAACACAAAGATGAGAAAATATGAGAGTGTGTCCGGTACTACACAACAGTTTAGAAATATATCAATACATAAATGAAAAAGTATCTTTATCATTTCTGTCTAAAACCTTTGGAGCATGTTCTAAGATAAAGAAAATATGAATATAAGTTTAAGATCAGAACCCTGGAGAGGAAACTGCAATATTTTAACCAAGACGAGCTACATTAAATACTGATAATATGATGAGAAATCATCTGAACAAAATGGGATTTATATCCAGAAAAGCCAAACTAGAGCTGTTATACCAGATAAAAGCTGATTACCTATCATTGAAGGTATAGAGCTGTAACTCAGCTGGAAACACTTTCCTTATTCCGTTGATCCTTTCAGGAAAACCAGAGAAGCTGCAGCCAAGTTATCCGCCTTCCTTTTCTCGCGTTCTACCTGACTGGTAGATTTATTGTTTGAATTGTTGGAAGTTCTGCTGTATGATCAGTTTTCCCGCTAAAGGAAAAACTCTGTCCTCTTCTCAGAGGGACTTCATTGTCCAGACTGGAGATCCTACTGGGACAGGCCGCGGAGGGGAATCTATTTTCTGGTCAGGCATCAAAACCATTGCAGGTGTGTAAGGGAACCAGTTTGAGCGCTTTGTAAAACCTTTGTATGCTCTATATACAGCAAACTTTATGGTGATCAGGCACGATTTTTCGACTCGGAGAAGACGCCACGCATCAAACACAGGAAGAAGGGGACGGTTTCCATGGTGAACAATGGAAATGATCAGCATGGCTCTCAGGTGAAGGAACCTTTTGACATCGTTAGTTTGTAATTTTAAAAGCATAGCTGTTTTTACTTTTGTTAATGTCCAATTTCACTGATGAAATTCGTCCATCCATAGTTCCTCATCACCACCGGGGAGAACCTGGATTACCTGGATGGAGTCCACACCGTGTTCGGAGAAGTTACAGAAGGTTTGGACATCCTGGCTAAAATCAACGAGACCTTTGTTGACAAGGACTTTGTCCCATATCAGGACATCAGGTGAGTCGGAGCAGAACGTTCAGGTGTTCCAACCATAAAGGGCTACATCTGATCCCAGCCGAACATCCAGAACATTTTATCATAGGAAACTCATGAGCTTCAGTCTGCTTTAAGTGGTATAGCAAAACAAAATAGTTAATAGATGTAAAGTAAATATTATCCATAATGTTTAAAGAAAAATTAAAAAAAGTCAATTAATTTTAGAAAATTTTTTACTTTCTCACTTTGATAAATTAGGTAAAAATGCTCCTTTTTGAGGACAGCAGATTAAAGAAACATTTGGAGCATGCAAGTCAATTTGCCACAGACCTCTTAGAAGAGGCAGCATTAGCGATAAAATCCAGATGAACACCTAAACCAAAGTACAAAAGGCAGAAAACGTTATACCATGTAAAACATGGTGGTGGCAGCATGATGCTGTGGGGGTGATTTCCTCCAGAAAATGGAGCGTTTGTTAGGGTTGATGTAGAGCCAGACGGTGGACAGACTAAAAATGTAATGGTTATTGATTCAGTTTTTTTTAAGGCAGCCTAGAGCTGCTTCACCATGTTTGGTTCTGTCTGCTTGAGCTGGAAGGCGCTCAACGGGTCATCAGAAACCGTCTCTGCAGAGGCTGGTTCTAGGAAAAGGAGCACTGTAGCTAAAAGTCTAAAGGTTATATCCAGGATTTTAGACCGGCGGTCCTGGATGGAGGGACGGTCAGTGCTGCAGTTTGGCCCCGTCCGGTTCTGGTTCTAGAAGACGAGCAGGAGCTCCTGCTGAAGGCTGAACTTCCTTAAAGGGGTCATAGAATGATTCTATAGGGTATTTAATTGCTTGTCCTTAAGGTCTCTGAATGGGTGTGTAACATTGGTTGGGCTGAAAATGGCATATGTGCTGTTCTATGAGCTCTAATGCAGCCTGGTTAAAAGCCCCAGAATAAAACGACAGGTTTTCTTCCTTATATGGTATGCTCATGAATATTTAGATGAGCTGTGCGCTGATTGGTTGGTTTAGAACAAGCGAAGCTGCTGAGCAAAGACGCATCATAGCAACAAGCACTCACTCACTGAAACATCAAATTGTTGATATGGTAAGGTGACCAGACGTCCTCTTTTTCCTGGACATGTCCTACAAAAAAAATGTCCGGGGGGAAATTTCAAAATCGTCCCAGATTTTGGTCGACTACAGTGCAGCATGTAGTCGAAACACACCGGGCCCTCGAACCTAGCCACTAGCTCCAGGGCTAGTCCGATCGAACCTGACCTGGTGGTGGTAGCCTGGACACTGACAGCCCTGTGCTTCTCCCCCCGCCAGCAGTCCGCTCTACACAATGCGTATTTCCTGTTTGGTACCGTACCGGCTTGTTTTGTTTATTTGACCGCCATTGTGGGAAACGACTCGTGAAGATTGACCAGCTAGAAGAGCGAGGTGCACGAGAACACTGGGACCCTTTATCTACCTGGATCCCGCTCTTTTTCACCCTCATGTACCTCAGTTGTCGCACAAACTTGCCCCCACTTCCTCAGCGCCTCAGCCGTATCTAGACCCACAGCTAGATTCTGATTGTCCGTCTTGCGTGGTGGCGTGGAATAACATAGCGCAGACCATCCTTCAATATTGGACATAATTTAGGAAAATATCTGCGTCATACCTGCGACAAGCCAACTGCGACACACTGCTGCAGGAGGATAACCAGCCCTTTAGTTTCCACAGGAAGAACCATCTCTGGGGTTCATAGAAAAGATGGATCCAGTTGCATCATTATTTTAATGAAAATCCTGTTTTACTGCAGGATCAACCACACAGTGATCCTGGACGATCCTTTCGATGACCCTCCTGATCTGCCGGTTCCTGATCGATCTCCTGAGCCCACCAAAGAGCAGCTAGATGTGAGACCAGCTGTTCATTGCAGCCATTGAGGGACTCTCAGCTGCATCTAAATGATATTAAATGCTCTGCATAGAGGCATCCAAAAGTTTTTTTTCCTTCCATCTGCAGAGCGGCCGTATAGGAGCCGATGAAGTGATCGATGATACAGATGGGAAAGCGGCCGAGGAGCTGGAGGAGAGGCTGAAGGAGAAAGAAGCAAAGACTCAGGCTATTCTGCTGGAGATGGTGAGCCACAGATCTGCTCCTCTGCTGAGCTCTGAAGGTCCCACCTGGTCCACCTGACGGTGCCCTGACCATCCCTACAGGTGGGTGACCTTCCTGATGCAGATGTGAAGCCTCCTGAGAACGTCCTGTTTGTGTGCAAGCTGAATCCAGTCACCACAGACGAGGACCTGGAAATCATCTTTTCTCGCTTCGGCTCCATCAAAAGGTCAGTCGGCCCTCTTTAGCTTTATGCCAATCCTTATGATCTTTGCCAGTTTTTCTCTTCTCTTTGGATATTTGATAGACAACATTTCTTGGTTCTTCTGCACAGCTGTGAGATCATCAGAGACTGGAAGACTGGAGATTCCCTCTGCTACGCTTTCATTGAGTTTGAAAAGGTGAGCAGCTTTGTCTCTTTTCACCAAACACTTTTCTTTTATTCTGACTTTACAGGATGAGAGCAGAAAATCCAAAACATACACTATTAATACCAATTTCACTCAAACCTATATCTTCTTTTTGACTCACACCACCCACTGGAACACAAACTTCCAGTCATCAGAACCTTACAACAGCGGGCCGAGCACGTTCCTACTGAAACAGAAGGGAAGCACAAAGAACAGAAACACTGTAAACCTGTGGATACTAGTGTTGCGCCGATGCCATTTTTTGGCCCCGATACCGATACCCGATACCTGGCTGTGCAGTATTGGCCGATACCATAATAATGTAAAATAATTGCCATCATGGCTTTGTCAAGCTGCTGCCTACCTTTGTGAAGCAGGAAAAAATCTAATACAAAGTGAATCCAGGAAAAGTTTTTTTTGCCTACCTGGAATGGGTGACAATAGTTGAATAAACTTATGGCTCTCAAAATGGTATCGGTGCCCTATTTGTTGGTACTCGCCGATACCACCGTTTTAGGGCAGTATCAGGGCCCCGTCCGATACTGGTATCGGTGCAACACTTGTGGATACCCAAACTGGCTGTTTTTCAAATCATTAAGGAAATATCAGTGAGAAGATTAAACGCAAAAACGTCAACATCCCTAATTTTGCTGGAGTCTCTGGAAAAACTCAAGAGGATTTTCTCCAAACACAAAATCCCAGAACATTTCAAACCAAACAAGACCCTTAGACAGAGACTAGTGCATCCTAAGGACAAAACTCCCAGACCAAATATGAGCGGAGTGGTGTCTGCAGTTCAGTCCAGTGATCTTTATATTGGAGAAACCAAACAACCTCTCCACAGACACATGGCCCAACACAGAAGAGCGACCTCCTCTGGACAACACTCCATCTACATCTACACCTTGTGGACAAAGGACATTCTTTTGAGGACCAAAATCTTCACATTTTGGATAAAGAAGACAGGTGGTTTGAGAGGGCTTTGAAGGAAGCCATCTATGTTAAGAAAGAAAAGCCAACCTTAAACAGAGGTGGTGGACTCAGATTTCAGCTTTCAAAAACCTACAATGCAGCTATTGAGTTATTTCCTTCCTGCTATCATCGCAGCTCCAACCCCTTTAAAGGAGAACAGAAGACTTGTCTATTCAGCTAGGCCAACAATTCCCTTTATCGACCCCCTTTCAGAGACATAGACAGGTATGGGGCATTGCAGGTTAACAAAAGAAGCCAAACGACCCCCATTCCAAAGGGGTGGACCCTTTCGTCTGTTTCAATTAGCATGTTTTCAAAACAAAAACAAGGTTTTGTTTGGCTACTGTATAAAACCTCGAACTCGACGCTTTTTTGAATTGAAAAAGCTTCCTGGTTGGGAAGCAAAACGTCTTCAAACTTGGAAACAAAGTCCAGTGCTTTGTTTTTAATTGTTTTTTTTCAAATTACTATGGCCTGAATGACTGGGAATCTTCACCAGAACGTTTTCCCTAATTGGGGAGGTTCATAGTTACCAAGCATGTATGGTCAGTTGTTCCCACTGGGATGTATCTCACAACCTCTGAAACTGGCAGTTCTGCTCCAAACCAGAGGGTGGCAGCAGTGATGCCATCATGTAGAACATCTACCTCTGACATCTTTAAAGTTTTTTGTTTTTTTTTACAGAAACCAACAACAACAAAAACAGCATTTAATGATTCACAACAATATGCAACAAATGGAGAATTAATATAGAATATATGATCTTTAAGGAATTAGTTTTTATGTTTTATGGGGTTGAGTTTGTCTTTGCTTCAATGTAATTATGTTCAACCCATTTATGGCTCTACATAAGAGCCATAAATGATTATAAACAGCACTGATTATTTGACATGGGCGTAGCTTTATTCGGAAGGACCTCATTTAAACCTGGTCTCTCTTTGGTGATTTAATCACAAAAGATCGATGTTTTTGCTTTGTTCATTTTCCTGTTGGTTCATTGTTATCAGTTTAGCTTAACCTAGAACTGGGTTTAGTCTTAGATTTAACCCCTCAGTGCACATTGGTTTTCTGGAATCCCCACTGTTACCTAGTCTGTTGATCATAGCTGGAGAGATACAGCCTTAATCACAGTCATGCTGCACAACTCCTCTTCCAAAGGGAAATCAGCTAAAAGCCTATTTTTGTTTTCAGTTGTGGTCGGTAAAGTTTACAGTTGAGGTCAGACTGGAAACCTCTTACCCCCAGATTCCACATACTCCGCCCCGCTCACGTTCGTCATGCAGAGTACTTTTCTCTGTCATGTTACTCAATGAGAGCTGTTCCACCTCCGCTACTACCCTGCACGTCACCGTCCACGTAAGTCTTCTTCTTCGTCCGCCACCGTCAAAATACAGAGCCGAGCTATTTTAGCTCCGCTCCAGACAGGTCAAAATACACAATTGCAATCGCACCAAACAGGAAAAAGAACAGCGAGAAGATCCGGTTTTGTCAAATTAAAATATAGCGTAAATCCTCTAATATTGGCCTGTATTCCATTAGCAGCTAATAATGACCTGTCTGGCTGTTGGCGGAGGTAAATAATGGCTAGACTCTTATAAAGGCCGGGGCTATAATTAGAACCAACAATGTTTCAGTCCTCAACAACCTGTGATAGTAACATACAAGTATCACGGGGAGGCAATGTTTTCTAACGAATCCAAGCCATTAGCATGGGAAGTCCCATCCTTAGCGCAGACAGGAGGTCGGCTTGTTTTGTTTTTTTGACCAAAATTGCTGAAAACAACTCATGAAGATAGTCCAGCTAGAAGAACGAGGTGTCACTGTTGTCGGACTAAACTCGCCCCCACTTCCTCATCGCCTTGGCCGTATCTAGACCCACAGTGTATAGCACAGACAACGCCTCAATATTAAGCATAAATCAACACGTCATCCCAAGTTCACCAGATCATCCAGTCAGATTGATTCAAAGTTTTCAATCTAAGGAAAACCAGTTGATTGCATCGACTCATTGACTCAAATACAATCCCTCACACTAAGCATGCTTGTAGCAACAGTGGAGAGGAAATGTTCCCTTATAACAGGAAGAAACCTCCAGCAGAACCAGATTTAGTGTGAGCGGCCATCTGCTGAGGCCGACTGGGGTTCAAGGAGACAGAAGCAGAGATACAAAAAGAAGCTCATTGACGCCAATCACCCCACGTATCGCAACTAGCCGTCGTCTTCACGTATGAATGACGAGCTGTCAGTCAAAGGCTTCCTGACACTACTTCCCTTGTGATCGTATTTGTAAGGCCAAATCAGGAGGAGGCTTAATGCTGGTTTATACTCAGAAACCAGGTCATCTGCGTGTGTCGCAGTTAACGCAGATATGCCCCGCCCCTTCCACAGACACTCTGGTGCACCTTTCCAAAATTGTAGTTGACCACAGACAGTGTCGCAGACCGGAGGCCTCTGATTGGTAAAATCTAGATCCGCTTTACACTATGCGTATTACCGGCTTGTTTTGTTTGTATGACAGCCATTGTGTAAAAGCTGAGCAACTAGAAGAGCGAGGTGCGTGAGAACGCTGGGACCCTTTTTCCACCTACATCCCCGCTCTTTCCCCCCCCTCATGTCCTCATGTCTCCACCTAACCTGTCAAAACACATTTTGCTTCGCGCAAGGAGAAAATCAGTCTGAGGGCAGAGACGCTTTGAAGAGTGCAGCCATCCTCGAGCGTGGCCACTGGATAAAAAATCGTGTGCGCGTGGGAGGAGCTGGCGCGTGCAGAGAGCAAATTTCTTCTCTCGATGCCGCAGTTTCTTGCGCATGTGTGATTTTGTTGTGCGTTGGTAGATAAAAAGTAGGTTAACATACATGCAAGTGTTAAGTTTGCTTGTTGGCAGTTTGAAATAAACGTGACGCCATGTATTACTCTCATTATGCAGCTAGTGTGAATATTTTAACTGTTTAAAAAGCTGACAGACATTATGTCTACTGTATTTTTACCTTTACACATAATTTTACTCGTACTAAATCCTTAAAAATAATACAAAAAGGTATTGATCTGCTAATGTATTTCGCCAGGTAGTCCTTTTAGTTTCTCCCATGTGACTCTTATGGTCTTGAGGAAATGCAAGCCGATAACATAGTTATTTCCATTCAGCTGCTCCTCTGGGGTTTTTTTTTTATAAGACAAACATATCAGGTGGAAAAACCCTTCAGGATGTAAAGTCTGGAAATCAGTCATAAAGCCAAGTTTGTTTGTTTTTACGACACGTTGATTACAATCCCAGGAGATTGCTTGAGTCATTACGACAGGGAGGTGATAGTGAAGAAAATAAACGATGCCACACAGACAAACATACCCTGTATGTTTCAGACCTGCTGCACCACATGGAAGAAAGAGCACGGAAAGTTGATTTAACTTGTATAAAATCCCTTATGTGAGAAAAAGAGAAATTAACATTTACATGGTTGTTCTTTTTAATTGTGACCCCCGACTGGACCGTCAGGGAGTAAACTGTGCTGCAGGGATTTCACCTTCTGTCTGAATTCATCCCAACAATAAAGGGCCTGAAACAGCTGAGTGCAATGCTTATAACAGCCAGCAGAGGGTGCTGTTGTTGGATCAATATTGACTTTGACATTTAGCCGGTGGGATCAGTTGATGGTTTGTTGTATTAGACGGTACTTGTAAAGAAGCTGCAATCAGGCGCCTCCTCGAGGAAAAGCAAAGTCAGAGTGGAGTCGGGGTTTTCCCACAAGACGAGCTGCATTTCATCACACTCATTTTCCTGCTTCCATAGAAACACTAGGATTTTATTCTGGCTTCCTGAACTTGTCAGTCAGCAACATGCTGCACCCCCCCTCCCCCAGGCTCCTGCTTTTTAAGCAGATATTTAATATGTGTGTTAGGTTTAAACACCAAACATTTTATGCAGTAACCTGTACAAAGAATGACACAGAGAATTTTAGTATGATTCACTTGCAAGGAGAGTGATCAGAGACTGTTCAGTTCCAATTCTCCAAACCACTCT